ATTAACATTGTTTTATATATCGGCCGAGTTATCGGATTTGGGAGCTCTCCGTTAGGATAAGTTGGCTTTATAATCGGTTATCGTTTTGGAGAGCTTATCGGCGAGTTATCGGCGTTATCGACACTTATCGGCCGATAAGGCTTAAATTATCAGGATTATCGGTCGAGCATTTTGAGTTGGATTGTTAAGTTTTTAAACCCGACCCGACCTGTTTTGTTAATAAAATGAAACTTAAAACCTGAAACTTCGTGAATCCGACCTTCAAACCATAAACTTCATCTCTGGCGGCTGCTCCTTTTCTCATAAGGCTCTTCCTCTTCCTCCGTTATCTCCATCTTATGTTCTCTGCGCCTCTTTGTCGCTCGCCTTCGTGAACTTCAAACCTTGAACTTCATCGCTCGCCTATCCTCTGTCAACCTCGTCGCTCGCCTCGCCTTCCGTCTTTGTGAACCTCGTCGCTAGCCTTGCCTTTGTGAATCTCCGTGAACTTCGCTCGCCTCGCCTTTGAATTCTAGCGGGATTTACTTGAACAAGTATCATTTCTTCTCGCCTTCAAACTGATTCTGTTTTTTAAGTTGATTTTTATTGTTCTTTGAACAAATATTATCTACTTGTGAGACTTGTTGGGAAGAATCTCTGTGAATTATCTACTCCATGAATTATCTCCAGTAGAATTTACTTGATTTTTGTTTTTTGTTGAGTTTTAAACTTCTCTTTTAATCTTTTCTATAAGAATTTCTGTGAAGTTTTAGGATTTCCCCATAAGTTAAAAAGATTTTTGTCCGGAAACATGGCTATATATATACACATGTTATGAGCTTTCCTTCTCTTGTAATTCCTTCACAGTTCACGCACGCACTTAGATCTCAAGTTAGTGACCTGAAAGAAGAAATTGTTGAATAATTTACATTTTGGTATGTTTATATTTCATTAAGCATGGTTAGATTATATTTTTTAGTTATTATATTATATTATGTTTATATTTCATTAAGCATGGTTAGATTATATTTTTTAGTTATTATATTATATATATACACCATCCAGTATATCACTCTTAAGCATGGTTAGATTATATTTTTTAGTTATTATATTATATATATACACCATCCAGTATATCACTCCGGTAAATACTACTTATCCTTAATATATCACCGATTTTCGCTATCCGATAAGGATTTTGGCCGTCCGATAAATCTCCGATAACCAATATTTAAAACCTTGGATATTAGTCTCAATTTGACTTTTGATTTAGAAAATAATGAACTTTACTACTATGTTGGATGTAATCTCATTTGTGATTTGGTAGTACATATTATTTATCTTGACGTATTTTTATGTGAAAATTGATGAACATGTTCTTTCTTGCTTTATTATCTATCTTGAAAAATTATGTGTGTGGTGTGCGCCTCGCTCCACTCGGGCACGTGCATCGCATTTCGCCTTGCACATACGCGGCTAAAGGGACTTTGCATTGCGCATTGCGTTGATCATACTGCGTACTAGAAAAGTTACAGTGACACCTAACATTTCCCCAAAATAAAAATGGTTATGTCATAGAAAGATCAAAAGAGCAAAGCCCAAAGAGCTAGGAAAAAGCTTGCCGCTTGTAATCATCATGACAACCACTTATTCTGCAATTAAAATTTTCTTCCATCAGAATATCAAAAAGGAGTTAATTTCACCTAAAATACATTTTAGATTAAGATTATATCTTAGCATTCCAAGATCATCAGCAACCACTTGAATTTGCATGTTAAGGAGATATGACCTTGCACATGGAGTTAATCAATCAAGCATTAGCATAGTTTAATTATAAAAACCACCTCAGAAACAATATTGTATTCCAATATAGGTGATACAGGTGTATCTTCTCTTCGGAACTTAGCGATCTTCATGGGAGCTTGAGGATAGATGATTCTCATACTAGCATGAGAATAGGGGGTGTCAAACAGTATAAGGGAACACAGGAGGAAGCGTGGAACAAAACGACGAGCAGAAAAATCAAAGTACCCAGTTTTCAGCCTGTGAGTCGACTCATGACTGTTATGAGTCGACTCATCAGGTTGAGTCGACTCATGACTGTCATGAGTCGACTCATCGCTGGTTATTGAGATTTCTCTAGTTTTTGTCGAGTCGACTCATCTCAGTCATGAGTCGACTCATCGATGGTTTTCTGATTCGTTTGGGATTCTGTTCACACGTTTTCCTGTTGGTTTTGGGTCTGGTTATTTACCAAACTGCCATCCACGTTTGTACACCTATATAAGGGATTGTTTTAGGGTTTCTAAACATCTTTTTGGTCAGAGAGTTTAATCAAGAGAGATTAGATTCTAGATTGAGATTTGGAGAGCTTGTTCTTCAATTCTAGAGTGAGATTGTGAGGGAGAGATTGTAATCTTTTGTTCTTCATAATCTATAGAAGGTATTTTCCTTCGCCAAACTGAATTGTTCTTGTGTTTTGGTCGTCCTTTTCTCAACCCACCTTTTGATAATTCCGCGACCAAAGGGTGCTCGCACGGCAACTCGTATCAAGTTGGTATCAGAGCCCTCAGATCCGATGAAAGGGGCATCCTGTGTATGGTCCTTACCCGATCCCAATACAAGAAGCTTGGCGAGATCCTTATTTCATTAGAAGGAGTCCAAGATTTAAGGAAGGAGAAGATGACTGAAGGAGACAATTTAGCGAGGATTGATGCATTGGAGAAGCAGATCGAGATGATAGGTTCGACTCTCACCCAACTCGTCAGTCTTATCCATGGAGGTGGCAAACAAGGTGAATCTTCTTCGAAGAAAATTGTTGAGTCCGATGTGGAAAGAGTAGATTCAGATTCCGACGAGGAGGAGGAGACCATTAAGACTGTATTGCATCAAGGTGGTAAGAATTCTTATCAAAACCTGAAGATTGACTTTAAGGTGGAGATTCCTGTTTATGATGGGAGTGTTGACGTCGAGAGGCTTGATGACTGGATCGAGCGGATGGAGACGTATTTTACTCTTTATGGCTATTCGTCGAAAGAGAAGATTGTGTTCGCGACTTTGAAGCTTTCAGGGCACGCGTTGACGTGATGGAAATCCTACTGTAAGCAGGAGAAGAAGGCGGTGTCGTGGAACAAGTTCAAGGAGCTACTTAGGAAACAGTTCTATCCGGTGGGATTCCTTGAAGAACGTTGGTACAAGTGGTACGGCTTGCGCCAAAGGGTCAATCAAACCGTTCAAGAATATACTACGGAGTTCCAGCAGCAGGCGATGGTCCTCAACATTGCGACAGAGGAATATTCCGTGTTTATGAAGTATATGACGGGTTTGAACGATCACATCCGAAAGGAGATGAGGCTATTCACGGTGGAATCAATTGCAGATGCGAGCGTGAAGGTCATTGCCATTGAGGGTAAACAAAAGAATGGCAACAAGGTTAAGGGAGACTCCAAACAGACGGGAGGCGAGTCTAGTGGTTCTCAATCTAATGAGGAGAAAAAAAAAGGGTGATCCAGGGAAAGCAGGACTGATTTGTAGTCACTGCGAGAAGACAGGACACGAAGCTGATCGGTGCTGGGAGAAGTATCCTCATCTGAAACCAAGAGGGTTGAAGAGGAAGGAGGAGAAAAAGGCATACATGATAGCTCAAGGTCCGAAGGAAGTCCCGGGGATGACAGAGCCCAACAGCAGTCTTAATCTTATGACGAGAAAACAGACCACGAAAGAGAACGACGACCCGAGAGAGCAACTCTTTGTTCTTAAGTTGCAAGTGAAGACCAGTTTGGTTGATGCCATTGTTGATTCGGGCAGCGAGAAAAATTTGATATCCGAGGCATTGGTGCAGAAGCTAGGTCTGAAGACGGTCAAGCATCCGAAACCCTATCCATTGGGGTGGATTCAGAAGGAGGAGAAACTGAGTGTAGTTGATCAATGCACTGTCAGATTTGCGCTCCACGGGTCGTATATTGACGAGGTCACATGCGATGTCGTTCCATTGGATGTTTGTCAGATTATACTAGGTAATCCGTACTTATGGGATAGATATGCGATCTACGAGAGGCGGGCTCAGAAGTACACCTTCACTAAGGATGGTGTAAAGTTTATATTTCGTTCGGCATCTCTTCCGAAGGAGACAAGCTTGGGGACGGTGACGCGAGCGAAGAGACTAGTGAATGCAAGCAAGAAATTTGTCTCGCTGTGCATTAGACTTCTAGAAAAGCCATCGACAAAGGATTGCAACTTAGAGCGAGCGGTGACTATGACGAGACGCGGGACGAATGAGTTGTTTCCGATCGGACGTCGAGACCGGATTCCTAGCAAGACCAGGTGGTGCAGAAAAGATGGAGGAGCTCAAGAGTTTCCTCAGCTGAAGTTCTAACTTGAATGGGACTTCAAGTTCTTAAAGAGGGGACACATGATACAGGTGTATCTTCTTTTCGGAACTTAGCGATCTTCATGGGAGCTTGAGGATAAATGATTCTCATACTAGCATGAGAATAGGGGGTGTCAAACAGTATAAGGGAACACAGGAGGAAGCGTGGAACAAGACGATGAGCAGAAGAATCGAAGTACCCAGTTTTCAGCCTGTGAGTCGACTCATGACTGTTATGAGTCGACTCATCAGGTTGAGTCGACTCATGATTGTCATGAGTCGACTCATCGCTGGTTATTGAGATTTCTCCAGTTTCTGTCGAGTCGACTCATCTCAGTCATGAGTTGACTCATCGATGGTTTCCTGATTCGTTTGGGATTCTGTTCACGCGTTTTCCTGTTGGTTTTGGGTCTGGTTATTTACCAAACTGCCATTCACGTTTGTACACCTATATAAGGGATTGTTTTAGGGTTTCTAAACATCTTTTTGGTCAGAGAGTTTAATCAAGAGAGATTAGATTCTAGATTGAGATTTGGAGAGCTTGTTCTTCAATTCTAGAGTGAGATTGTGAGGGAGAGATTGTAATCTTTTGTTCTTCATAATCTAGAGAAGGTATTTTCCTTCGCCAAACTGAATTGTTCTTGTATTTTGGTCGTCATTTTCTCAACCCACCTTTTGGTAATTCCGCGATCAAAGGGTGCTCGCACGGCAACTCGTATCAATAGGCCCATCAATCTAGAATCTTTTTTTTTGACAAAATATTCATTATAGGTAAGACTACCAATACTGAAAAATGTTGTTTTTAAAGTAGAATACTGAGTTGTAACTAGCTCATAACACTTACAACGTACAAGTCATGTTTAAGTATAACAAACTCCTCATAGATGTCAAACAGTCAATGATGATTTTGTGACTAAGTTTGCATTACAGTTGAGACACAACAACATTGAATGTAGTTTCTCTAAGTATAATAGCGATAAGCAACTAGCTCATAACATTTAAATGTTATAGTTGAATACCTCCTGATGAGCAGACCTCCGACACCTGTCGGTCTGTCGAGCAAGGCGAATCTTCTTCAAGACGTACCTACAAGAAGTAATAAGCTCAATAATGAACAGAACTTGTCGTATCGATCACACACAACGAAATGAGATCAAAGACGGCAAGACGACACTTTGGCTTGCGGCTTACTCACCTCTTCTTCTCCATCTTATGCCTCACGAGGAGAGCAGAACCAAATGCACCTTTCCCAATCTGCTCCAATACCTCATATTGCTCCATTTTTGGGGAAAACAACTTCTCTCTCACCCTCAAATGTGTTGACCTAATCAAAGCTCCACTTCACCTTCCCTAAATAAATTCAAGAAGTTAAATAATTACCAAAAATAGAAAATTTCTTCAATCAAAGCTATTAACTCACTACACAAATCAGTTAGAACAAAACACTACTACAATAAAGCAGCAGAAAATTACACACGCAAAATATTTAAAAAAGAAACAGACGAAAATGTAACAAACTGACGGCACAAACTCCAAAAAAATCGGAAAAATCACAAAAACATTATCGGAATCCACACGCATTATCGAAACATCAAGCATTGCAGCGAGAAATCGCACCTGTATCCGAGATCCGCTCGATCAGCGGCGAGATCTCAGCATCAATCAAGAACCTAGAATCTCGACGACGATCGATCGATCGGAGAAGAATCTACAACTTGAGCTCGAAGGAGAGCTCTGTTGATCCCTCTGCTGCCATTGCGAGGGTTTTAGAGAGAGAGAGAGAGAGAGGCGGCAAAGAGCTCAAAAAGGAGGAGATGATTGAGGAATTCAAAGTTTTTAAAAAGAAAAGGGATTCATCATCAAAAGATGAAGAATCTAGAGAGAGAGAGTGTGAAGTGAGAGAGAGGAGAGAGATAAAAAAGAGAGTGATGTGATGGGGAGAGTACTGTGTAAGCGGGAGGTCAATTTTTTTTAATATTTTTAATGTCCGTAATTGTTATTAATTAGTAAATTAATTAGGAAACGGTAGACACGTCTATTCCTCGCTCGTTTTTTAATTTAATTAATAAGAAGATTGAGTTACTTTTCATTTATAAACCCTAGTTTGACCTGATTTACTTTTAAGTCCATCCGCCCCTAAATATCATCCTTAAACCCAAATTATCAAGTATCTACTTATAGAATTTTAAATTTATAAAAATAAAAATAAAAAACCAATGAAGGAGCCACATTATACGAAGAGTAGATAAACGACCCTATCAGAACTATTCTCTAAACTGGACCTATCATATATGACGTGCTTATAATTGTGTCTATTGATACTCTAAAATATACATCAAATTATAGTTATCGATACACTGAAATATAATGACTAAGGTATCAATATGGTAACTAAAATAGAAAGTAATTTTAAAAATAATTTAAATGATGTATGGCAACTTTGGATTACAATTCGCTTGCCTTATAATCTACAAATGACTTATAGTCCTTCAGTGGATTAAAATAGTTCAAAGTTTTTTGGTAAATTTAATGGATTGTAATCCATTTTAATGATAGAGTGTTTGGAAAATGAGTGGCTTACAGTACTTCAGTATTATCAAAATAACCAAAAAGAGTTCAAAAATAAAGAAAGAGGGTTTAAAATTTTCTTAAATGCTAAATTATAAAGCGATCTTTTACTGAGTCAAACTATATATCTTATAAGCCACCAAAAAATAAGCTAGATTGTTCTTTTTTTTTGCCTCATAAGCATCTTTGATTGGTTGTCAAATATGCTCTTTGAGAGATATTTTAAGTGCAATTATGGTTTTGTGGTGGGTGGCGTGAAAATAAATCAGGATAAAATTTTGTGTTTATATATTAAAAAAATTACGTACCTATATTTTGTTGCTTTTTAGAGTTCTAAATAATTTGTTTTTGGCATCTTTCGCCTCTTTAAGCCGACAGCAGGGACATCCCTTCAGATCACGAGCCGGGGCAGAAACCTCTGCTGCAATAGATAGAACAGGAAACAGCAAAAGAAGAAATGAAATCAGAAAGCGGTGAAATTACCGCTTTATCTCGTTCTTTTACTTCGGCTTTTTCTTTTTGACTTTTACCCTCGGTTGGCCGGGGGAGGGGGGGGAGTTGGCAACAAGTTGCCGGGTTGGGGGCTGAGAAAGGCGTGGGGGGGTAATGATGGGTGATGGAAGTCGGTAAAACATCAGGCAGCCTTTGACTGGGATAGTAAGTCATAAGTGGGGCCCACAGGATTCTAAGTTGGATAATGTCTAGCAGACAAATAAGTATTATATTATAAAGCGAAAGATTGGAGAAATTAATCAAGTTGGGAGTGTCAGAAAGTGAACCGTTGAAAAAAATCAAGATCATATGGTTTGCATGCATAAGTCATGGTTTCACTACTTTTCATGATTTAAAAAAGTTTTTTTTTAAGAACAATACTTTCACGCAATGTAAATGGTGTTGGTGATGTATAAAATTCATATAAATTTCACATAAATATGAATATGGCATGTATTATTACGTACGGATTCAAATTTCACTAAAATGCGAAAACGTAGCAGGTAGATTTCTATTTACTGTTATTTGAATTTGTGATAAATAAGGAAACTAATACAGGCCTCAGACTTCCAAAACATTTCCATGCGTCTGCTCTCGAATAAAATGAATTTAAATTTAAATAATATTTTTCTAGAAATATAATTTATTTAGGTAGATAACTATAACATAACTAATGTGTTTAATAGAGACTTGCGTGTGCGTTTGCAGGTGTTAATATGCTAATATTTTATTTAGAGGACAGTAGTTACGATCTCGGATCTTCTCCTCAGATTTACACTTAACATGTAGATAGAACATGAGATTTTATGAATAAGGATCTCCTCAGAACCACCCCTATATGAGCGGATAGTTTTCGAGCAACAAGAAGTCAGGGTGAAAATGTCTACTTTGCCCAACTATCCAACTGATTGATGGTTGCTCTCAAGTGAATATGGTTCTCAAAAAACCAAGATAATTATACATTTTAAGGTAATATGAACCTATGTATATCCATATGAATGGCAAGAGCTAGCATTGCAACTTTCAACTTCGCAAATATTTGCGTTTCAGTATGACGCGGGCGCTTGCACTTCCTAAGTGTAACCAAACGGAAGTGTTGGATGCTGAAACTGAGAAAAATACAGAAAAGTCTTTGTTGGAGAAATTGGGATCCTCTCCTCATCCTAATATTTCCTAATGAAGAATTGTGAAGAGTTGGGAGGGGGGCCCACAAGGATGAGTGGGAAAATGAAAGGTCATAATGGAAATGAAAGGATAGGATCTCCTTATTAGGAGATATTAGGAGCTTTTCATTAGGAGAGGATCCGGATCCGTTGTTGGAAGTGGATTTACGGTTGAGGGACCACGATAATCCGACAAACAAACGAAAGAAAATATAACAAGCTACGATCAGAGACAATTTCCATACTATAAAGCTTTCTATTATATTTATTATGGTATCAGAGTCTTGTTGTTAGCTTTAGAGAGAACTCTTTCTTCTTCCCAGACCTCGAGCTGACGAGGGGGGTTTCGTCACAAACTCTGAGCTTCCCTGGGTGGCCTCGACATCAGCTTCAACCTTGGCATTCGACAACGTCAACTCCTCATCATCATAATCTCCGATGAGGAACGCCTGTATCTCCTCCATCCACAAACCCCGTCCATCACACTCGGCGACAATCTTAGCCGTAAAATACAAATGAAAAAAAAAACATGATTAGAGCTCCTAGTTGTCACCTAATCACCTTACATACGTGATCTCTTCCTGTGTGCAACCAGCTTCTCCTCGATCCCCATTGCGTCTGCAACAACACCTGCAGAACATATTCCCAGCACATACCGCTATTTACCAACCCATACAACCTATCAAGAGGTTCGACGGAATGACTGAGAGATATCTCTCGCAGCGACGCTGCCGCCATCAACTACATGTAGCTATAACACCTTGCATCCTTTGTCCAACTCACATTATCTATCCACGACCTCAAAGGACAGCCTCCATCATGCATACTCTATCCATGCTCTCAACGAACAGCCCCCACCTCATAGCCTACAGCTCCATCGACCGATATGCTCCAACTCGATCACCTCTCACGGAGCCTGGACAACAACCATCTATGCAACTTGGCTCATCTTATCCAAATTCTCGATTGTCAACCCACTGTGACTTTGAGCAGGAGTATTAAATACAGTAGTGTATATTCTAATGGTATTTTATCTTATATATTAGGTAACGTATAACTGTGTATTAGGTAGTATAGTCTCTTTTTATTTTCTACTTTGCTTTCTATCTTAGTGAGCCTTTCCGTATTAAGTCTCCATCTTGTATAAATATATTGTCATGCTTATCAATAATATTAAGCTTTCTTTTATATTTATCAAAAATTGGATGAATCCAAGGTTTCTTTTGAGTAGTGGTGAATATGCTACTTCACATACAGTACAAGAGAGAAAAATGTGAGATCTAATCCTTTTAATTTCTTTCAAAATTGATGACTCATTAAGAAAGTCCATGTTTTCACTCTTGTGATGCGTGAGTAGTGTAGAAAAGTATAGTGTAGTTATCATTATTCTTTTTTTTACACATTTAACTATAATCTGAAAACTCATATATTCACATATTTCCATGTTAGTTTTTTATGATATGGGGCACGAAATCCAAATATACTTTATTTCTATATTAGATGTGGAAATCTAGGTATAGATATAAGACCATCATGTTCTTTTACCCTAGAATGGTTAACTCTATGTATGAGGTAAATTGGGGGGACCTAATAGAGATTAGATGACTTGAGGAACTAATTTTCCTCTAATTGATACTCTTTCTCTTGATAGGAGAGATTAGCTCCAAAATAAATTAAGAACCGGGGACTTAATAGTTCCAAAATAATTAATTAAGAATTGGGGACTTAATAGCAATGTTAATGATCTGAGAGATTAATCTCAAAACATGACATCAATTTCAATTATTTGAGGGACTAACTCAAAATATGGAAGGGCTTAACAAACTACTATGGAAAAACCTCCCCATTTGGCAATAGACTAGTGGTGTTAATGTTAGGATACGTAGAGCTTAATTATCTGACTTGCCCTACACCTCTAATTGAAGAGGGAACATGAGAATTGAAGGAACAGGAACGACAGCGATGAAATTCAGACAAAATGACGAAGGAAACAACCCGGAAGCCTCACGGTCGATCGCGAGTGACGCGGCGGTCAACCACGAACGTGCACAAGACCTAGAAAAGACTATGAACTTTTTACGGTCGACCGCGAAAACATGTGCGGTCGACCGCGCCAAACCCTATAGTCGATTAAGTTTCTGTCGTTTCTGTCCGGTCGACCGTGACTGTCTCTGCGATCGACCGCGAGTCGGGTTTTGGGTCTGGGCTCGTTTTTTCTGAACTGTTTGAGATTTTTGTTTGTATTAACCCTTATGTTATTAAAAGGGTTATTAGAGCAACTTGTAAACTGACGAAAAATAGTGAAATTTTCTTCTACAACGGCCGTGGACGTAGCTTCTCACATCGAGAAGTGAACCACGTAAATCTTGTCTATTTTTTTGTGGTTGATTTTCTCTCTCTTCTCTCTCATCTCTATTTTTAAATCATATCGGGGGTTAGATAAAACCCTAACAAGTAGTATCAGAGCGACCAGGTTCGGTGCAGGCTATTTGAGGTCAGAGACATGGGATCGAAGAAGGAGACGTCCAAGATCGAGAAGTTTGATGGGACAAACTTCGGGTTCTAGAAGATACAAATGGAAAACTACCTCTATCAAAAGGATCTATATTTGCCATTAGGAGAGAAACCGGCGGATATGAAGGATGCAGAGTGGAAGCTATTAGATCGGAAGGCCCTTGGAGCAATTAGGTTGACCATGTCCAAATCTGCAGCTTTCAACATCAAGAATCAGAATTCGATGGCGGATCTCATGGCTGCGTTATCTAGTATGTATGAACAACCCTCTACGGTGAATAAGGTACATCTCATAAAGAAGCTGTTTAATTTGAGGATGTCCGAATACAAAAAATTCAAGGAACACCTAAATGAGTTTAATGAGATTATGGATCAACTAAACTCCATCAATATTAAATTTGATGATAAAATTCAAGCACTATTAATACTTGGTCAGTTGTCTGATAGTTGGAAGGGCACTGTTATTTTGATTAGCGGGTCATACGAAAAATTAAAACTGAAGTTTTCAGAAGTTGTAGACATGGTTATGACCGAGGAGATCAGAAGGCAAGGAGTTTCTAATTCAGGGTCGGTATTGAATTTTGAGAGCAGAGGCGGAAATAGAAACATAAATAGAGGCAATAGCCGTGGAAGACCTAATTCGAGGAATGGTAGGTTAAGATCCAGAAATCACAAAAGAAAGAAAGAGATTGACTGTTGGAACTGTGGTAAGTTTGAGCACTATGAGAATCAGTGCAGGGAATCCAAGAAAGATAAGGAGAACAAGACTGAAGCGAACGTCGTCTCAGGAGAATCAGGTGATGCCCTTATTTGCTCGTTGGAGAGAAAGATAAAATCATGGGTGCTAGATTCAGGAGCTTCGTTTCATGCTACCTCAAATAGAGATTTATTTGAGAACTATGTTTCAGGAAACTTAGAAAAAGTCTATCTTGGCGATGATCAACCGTGTGATATAGTTGGAAAAGGAGCGGTGCAAATTAAACTTAATGGGTCTATATGGAAGCTAAATGATGTGAGACATGTTCCTAGCTTAAGGAAGAATCTGATCTCCATAAGACAGTTGGCAAAAGAGGGATATATATCAACATTCACATGTGATACATGGAAGGTTACCAAGAGGTCTATGATTATTGCCCGTGGTACGAAGAGTGGATCTCTCTACATGATGACAAATGCATGTTTATCCATTGTAGTGGTTGAAAGTAAAGAAGATCCAAATTTGTGGCACCAGAGGCTTAGTCACATGAGTAGCAAAGGCCTGAAGGTTATACAGTCGAATGAAAAGTTACCAGGTTTGAGGTCGACTAATTTTGACTTATGTGAAAGTTGCATCTCCAGGAAACAAAAGAGAATAAGCTTTAAAAGAGTTGGCAGAACACCGAAGGAAGAGAAGCTTGAGCTAGTTCACATAGATGTGTGGGGCCCAGTATCAGTACAGTCCACTGGTGGAACGTTATACTTTGTGACTTTCAGAGATGATCACTCGAGGAAGACTTGAGTCTATTTCATGAAAAACAAATTAGAAGTGTTTGAAGTCTTCAAGAGATGGAAGGCTATGGTAGAAAACGAAACATGGTTGAAGGTCAAGAAATTGTGATCAGATAATGGCGATGAATATGAAGATTCAGAGTTCAAGAAGTTTTGTTATGATAGTGGCATCAGATTGGAGAGAACAATGCCAGGCACACCTCAGCAGAACGGCATAGCAGAACGAATGAACAGAACATTGACTGAAAGAGCTAGAAGCATGCGACTTTAAGCAAGACTCCCAAAACAATTCTGGACACACTGCTGGATTTTCAACTTTTAGCGACGGACAAATCCGTCGCTATAAGTCGTTATTCCGTCGCTAAAACTTTTAGCGACGGAAAAAATAAAGTTCCGTCGCTAAAATTTCGACGCTATAACAGGGGTGCCTAAAAACACTTTTAGCGACGGACATTCCGTCGCTAAATTTTAGCGACGGTTTATTAGCAACAGAAAATCCGTCGTTCTATTTTTTTTTAAAAAAAGGAAAAAAAAATTCCGTCGCTAAAAGTGACATTAGCGACGGAAAATCCGTCGCTAATGTGACTTTTAGCGACAGAAAATCCGTCGCTAAAAAACAAAAACTTTAGCGACGGATATTCTGCCGCTATTATCATGTCCCGTGTATGTTTTCTGTCGCTAAAAGGGTCTATAGCGACGGCTAATCCGTGGCTAAATATTTCTAATATTTTTTTTTAAATTTATTTTGAAAATTAAAAAACCTGTACAATAATATAATGAATTTAAAACCCTATTCAATCAACAATATAATATTCATTCCCACACATATATAACACATATATTTTAATAAAAATATCCCAACATAATTAAAATTATTTATACAACACACACCATGATAAATATTGTTTATACAGCACACACTCATTGTTTTCAAAGGTAAAAAAAAATCAGTCCTCCCTGATCATCATCATCCTCATCACCAACTCCACCTTGTCTAGAAGTCCAAGCCTGTAAATATAAATCAAACGTTAACAACATGGCATGACATGCAAGTATAACAATAAGAGAGAGTATCATGACATATTCTTATATATTATATGTTTCGAAGAGAGTATCATGGCATATTCTTATGTATTATAAGCACGCACATATTCTTATATACACGCATGCACGCGTATACGCACGCACGCGTACACGCACCAAATCTGCACCCCTCCCTCCTCAACCACGACCAAAGCCACCACCCACCCACCCACCACACTCCACACCAACCACCCCCTCCCCCTACATCACCACCACCACCACCCAATCCCTACACCTCCCCCTCCTCCACCATGACCAAACCTAACACCAACCAATCAAATAACGCCCACCACAACACAACACAACAACAACATCACCACCACCACAAATCTCCAAACACCACCCACCAGCTATACATCCAAATCCTAGTAAAAGTAAAAAAAAAAAAAAAAAAGGAAATCTATCCATGTCTTAAAAGTAATCCATATCTTAAAAGTTAAAACGAGAGGCAAACCTGATCTCCAAGCTCTCATTACTCCTCCTGCTCCCCCTGCCGAATGTCAAACAAGTTAATCACTACTCCCAAACTAAAAATAAAAAGAACAAGCAAAAAAAAAAAATTAAAGATTTTTCTCATCTTATCTTATGCCCCTAAATTCTAGTTCTTTTTATATTAGACGTTTAAGGCTTTATACTTATAACTCACTCCTAAATCTTCAATCTGTTCAACAGAGGTTGTTATCTGGAATTATGACTTTAAATTACAATAAGCGAATTTTATTTTAAAGGCAAAACTTCATCGAGGTTACTAATATGTGGACTAAATATCACTTGGGCCCTTAATATTTGAAAATTTACTAGGATCCCCTATGTTGCCTCGGTCATCATCCTAGATCATTTTTACATAATTCCGTTCACAATAACGCTGCCATGCCATATCACTGCAGTGTAAACCAGTGTAAGTTTCAAGTTCAATACAAACTTTAATTTCACTAATTTTTTGTTGATGTGATAATGATGTGGTACGATAAACTTGGGACTGTTACTGATTTTTTAATGAAAAAGAGCTAGTTTCTTCTTTTTTAAGCGCGTTTTTTCCATATTAGTTCCTAATTTTTTATACTTTGAAAGGACAACCTGAAATTACTAAACTTTTTATTAGGTCCCAATTCTTAAATTATAATGAAATTAATCCCTCAAATCATTAAAATGCTACTAGAGTCCCCGATTCTCAGATTTGTTTCAAATTCATCCCTTTCATTAATTAATTACACTTCCACTCTTGATTGTTTATATCGGGTACCCAAAATCTCATAAGTTGTTTTTTATTAATCCCTCTAAGTGCTAAGTCCTACTCTCGTTGGAGGGACAAATCTCAAACTAACTAAAGAATTGAGGGACTTATAGTACTTTCAATAAATTGAGATACTGATTTCAGAATAAATTAAGAACAAGAAGCCTAATAGCAATTCCAATGATTTGAGGGACTAATTCTAAAATTAACTTAAAGAATCGCGAAATCTGATAGCAATTTTTATTAGTCGAGGGACTAATTTCAAAGCACGAAAGATTTAAGGGACTAAAGCATGGAAACCCTTAAAATAGAGTAGATCTACTCTTAACTTCAACAATGAAATGGTTGCTTTCTTCGTTCATAACAAATAACATGAAGTTATATTTATTTCCACTTGTTTACTTGAAAGAAATAGTCAGCGGAGCTCACCTTTTTTGAAGTAACAAGGCCTAAATATTTGTTCTTGCTCTTGCTCTTGCTCTTGGATGGTGGTGATGATGATGATGAACTAGAAGAAGATTCGCTTAAAACCCCATATTTTCTTAATTGTTTCCTCACAAACTTGTCATATATGAAAGCTGCTCCCCTAAATTGTGGTAATACCAACCAAGCCACTAACAATACCTTCATCTCATACCAAATTGGTACCCTTCACAAAAAAACCAATCCAAATTAATTGTCCAAATAATTTATAGAGTTTATCAATTAACCAAGAGTTTAATTACCATCTCAAGATTGGCTCCAAAACCATATCCATGAGCGTCAGGAAAGAGTACAAAATCCAATATGCTAACCATTGTTCATCATCAAGCTTGTCTTCAGTCTCAATCGCTTGAACTGATGCATACCTACATAATAATTCAAACCCCTCAACCAAATTCCAACCCCACCCAAAAGAAAAAAAAAAGAAAAAAAAAACAGCGAACAATATATACTTACAAGGGATAGAGCAACATGATTGCAGGCCTATAATCAAATATTGCATAATTGATATTAGTGCTACAATAGCAACCATAAATAATTAACAAACTTAAGTAGAAACTAATGAAACAATAATATGTATTTACCCGGAGAAAGAATGAATATAAGTGAGAAATGTCCAAAAGCGGTCCATGAAGATTTCTTTAGTTTGAGTTCAAGAAGCTTCTTCTTGCCTAAGTTTTTGAGACAATAGTTTACTTTACTACAATCACGATACTGGTGATCTGGCTACTTACTGAGAATTAACTATCAAATTTTGCCAATCATTTACCAACAACTATGCAGCGAATTTTTCTGTCCGGAACATACTATGTAAAATTCAACTCTAAAATATGTAAAATTCAACATACCAGCTTTTCTTCCTCTCCCCATTCAACATTAACCCTGTTTCCCACAGGAACTCCAACAACAAGCATTAGATCACTCCTCATCCGAGGAACTATACCCCCCAAGGTCACCCTCAGACTCATCACCATCTTCCTCGTTCTCCAAACCCTCCCTCCTCACCCTCAGACTCATCCGAGGAACATTAACCCGTGCGGGTCCCACGATAATAGGCGGAGCCAGAGCCTCTCGTCGTTAGGGGGGCGGTGGACGGAGAAGAATTGGGGGTAGCGAGGGATTAGGGTTTGCTGGTAGCTAATAGCGAGCCCGAGATCATACCGGAGGAGATCGATGGTGTGTAGAGGCAGGGACCGGTCGGCGGTGAGCATGAGGAGTTTGCGCAGGCGGTCGACGAGGCCGGGCTCAGCTAGGGTTAGGGTTCGTACCTCCTCCTCGCGTAAGCGGAGGGCGGCGGCGGAGAGGGAGCAGGGGCGACCAGAGGATCGAGGGTTGAAGATGGCGGGAAAGCGGCGGAGGAAGGAGGCGGGGTCGCGGAGGCGAGCTACGGTTAGGGCTTGGGGGGAGACGGAGGAGGCGGGGGAAGACCTGAAGATGACGATGGGTTCGCCGACGAGGAAGAGGAGGAGGAGGACGATGATGGCGGAGATCCCGCCATTCCTCCTGCTGCTGCTTCTCTCGCGGTACTCGGTCGAAGGAGATGACAACGAAGAGGGTGCGGGGTGGAGGGGATTAGGGATTTGAGAGGGTGATGAAATTTTTGGGATGATTTTTTTGGCGGTGGGACGAAATTTTCGGGGATGAATTTTTGGCGGTGGGATGAATTTTTTGGGGGAACGGAGAGAAAAACGTCCGCGCCCAAAAAATTTTCCCACTTTTGAGTTTTAGCCACGGAATATTCCGTCGCTAAATTCCCTTTTAGCAACGGAAATTTTCCGACAGAAAATTTCTGTCGGGAAATTAATGACGACGGAAATTTTCCGTCGTTAATATTGAAATTTCCGTCGGCATAACTTTTTTGCCGACGGAAAATTAGCGACGGTAAATTCCGTCGCTATAATGTGACTTATAGCGACGGAATTTTCCGTCGCTAAAGTTCCGTCGGCAATAGTTCATTTTCTAGCAGTGACAGAAGCAGTCAACACAGCTACCTACCTGATCAATCAGGGATCATCAATGCCTTTGGAGCACAAAATACCTGAAGAAGTATGGAGTGGAAAGAAGATAAACATTTCTCACCTAAAAGTTTTTGGCTGCGTTTTATATGTTCATGAGTAATCATGTTAGAAACAAACTTGACTCTAAGTCTTTGAAGTATTTTTTTTATTAGCTATGATGGAGATGAGTTTGGCTATAAGTTCTGGGATGAGCAGAATAAGAAAATTATCAGAAGTAGGGATGTTGTCTTCAATGAAGTCGTCCTCTACAAAGATCGTGATGCTGTTCAATCCACTAATTCGGTGTAGCCTGGGTCTACATACTTCGATCTAGATGATCTTCCAGATGGAAGCAATCTTGAAGCTAGTTCTGATGAGGAAGCAACAGAAGAGGCTGAAGAAGAGATGATGGAGGAGATCACTTCAGAGAGGACAAATGAAGATGCAGATCCTAATTCACCCATTAGAGAGTTGAGGCGGTCAGCAAGAGTTCCAAAGCCAAATCCGAAGTATCCATCACTACAGCCCAGAGCTCATTTGAACTACTTATTATTGAGTGACAGTGGAGAGCCAGAAAGCTATGATGAGGCATGTAGAGTAGATGATGCAAGCAAGTGAGAGCTTGCTATGAAAGATGAAATAAAGTCCTTGAACTCTAATAAGACTTGGGAACTTGCGAAGTTGCCAGTGGGAAAGAAAGCTTTGCATAACAAATGAGTGTACAGAATCAAGGAGGAACATGATGGTTCTAAGATATACAAGGCAAGAATGGTGGTCAAAGGATTTCAGCAGAAAGAAGGAGTTGACTACACAGAAATCTTCTCTCCTATAGTCAAATTAACTACTATCAGATCGGTTCTGAATATTGTTATAGCTGAAGATCTACATCTCGAGCAATTAGGTGTGAAGACAGCTTTCCTCCATGGTGACGTAGAGGAAGAAATATACATGCAGCAGCTAGAAGGGTTCACTCAAAAAGGCAAAGAAAAGATGGTATGCAGATTAAAAAAGAGCTTGTATGGTCTGAAACAAGCTCCAAGGCAATGGTACAAAAATTTTGATGGATTCATGCACAAGAACAAATACTCCAGGTGCAATGCTGATCATTGTTGTTTCTTCAAGAAGTTTGACACTAGTTATATTATCTTGCTACTATACGTCGACGACATGCTAGTAGTCGGTTCAGACATGGGTGAGATCAAGAAGCTGGAGAAGCAGTTATCGCGTGAGTTTGACATGAAGGACTTAGGCGTAGCAAAGAAGATATTGGGGATGAAGATTAGCAGAGACAAGTGTTTGGGCACATTACAGTTATCTCAGGCTGATTACATTAGACGGGTGCTTGAGAAGTTTGGAATGAGTTGTGCTAAGGCCGTTAGCACACCTTTAGCTAGTCATTTCAGGTTGACTAAGGGGCAATGTCCAGTGACTGATGAGGAGAAAAATTACATGATGAAGATTCCATATTCGTCAACCATTGGAAGCCTTATGCTTGCCATGGTGTGCACGAGACCTGACATTGCCCATGCAGTGGAAACTGTGAGCAGATTCATGTCAGATCCAGGAGAGCAGCATTGGGAAGCTGTAAAGTGGATTCTAAGATACCTTTGAGGTACAATATAAAATTGTTTATGCTTCAAGAGAGGCAAATTAGTTCTGTAGGGTTTTGTTGATGCAGACTATGCTGGTGAGATAGATCAGAGTAGGAACACTACGGGGTATGTGTTCACTTTGGGTACTATAGCCATCAGTTGTGTTTCCCAGTTGCAGAAGATCGTTGCTTTGTCGACTACAGAGGCAAAATACATTGCTGTGATAGAGGCTAGCAAAGAGATGATATGATTGCAGGGATTCTTGGAAGAGTTGAGACTGAAAAGTGAGAAGAGTGTCTTACACTGTGATAGCCAGAGCGGCATCCATTTAGCAAAGAACCCAGCTTTTTATGTCAGGACCAAATATATACAGGTTCGTTATCACTTCATAAGTCAGCATTGGATGATGACATGTTGGAACTTGTGAAGATTCAAGGAAGCAAGAACCCGACTGATATGCTTACGAAGACTGTCACTACGGAGAAACTGAAGTCGTGTTCAACTTTAGTTGGCCTCATTACTTGATGATATGGGAGGTCGTCGCCACAGGGAAAGGTGATAAAGATTGAAAGTTAGTCTCTAAGTGGGAGATTGTTAGGATATGTGAAGCCTAACTATCAGACTTTCCCTATACCTCTAATTGAAGAGGGAACATGAGAATTGAAGGAACAGGAACGACGACGATGAAGTTTAGTCAAAACGACGAAGGAAACAACCTGGAAGTCTCATGGTTGACCGCGAGTGACGCAGCGGTCGACCGCGAACGTGCACAAGACCTAGAAAAGTCTCTGGACTTTTTAGGATCGACCGCGACAACATGTGCAGTCGACCGTGCCAAACCCTGTAGTCGATTAAGTTTATGTCATTTCTGTCTGGTCAACCGCGACTGTCTCTACGGTCGACCGCGAGTCGGGTTTTGGGTCTGGCTCATTTTTTTCTGAACTGTTTGAGATTTCAGTTTGTATTAACCCTTATGTTATTAGAATGGTTATTAGGGCAACTTGTAAACTGACGAAAAATAGTGGAATTTTCTCCTGTGGCGGCCGTGGACATAGCTTCTCACATCGAGAAGTGAACCACGTAAATCTTGTGTGTTTTTCCTTCTGTGATTGATTTTCTCTCTCTCTCTCTTCTCTCTCATCTCTATTTCCAACTCCCATCAGGGGTTAGATAAAAACCTAACGGTTAAGGGGGTTTAACCTTTAATCAACCCCAAAATAGCAAAATATTCTAATGGACTAACAAACCCAAAATTTAACCACCAGATAACCCTCGCAGCTTAACAATTTCGCGTGAGGAGGTAGAATAAGTTATTTTGCCTCCTAACACAAGCGTAGGCAGTGGGAAAATGTAATGTTCGTTTATAGATAGAAGCACATTTCGATAGCTAGTATAAAAGATATATATACTAATTAGTTTCTGATTATTTGTTAGCATAAGTTCGTTCATGATGCTATTGAGGCTGCTATCAGGTGCTATGATGCGTCAAATCTTGCCTATGCTTGGCTTCTGCTTGATGGAGAATGCTCTAAAAAAATTTCCCTTAAAATCATATTTTTCTTAATGCTCTACTTAGTTGAAATATCTTCTTTTTTTTGTGCTATACTATCCAGTCCAGTTTACTGTTATCAACCAAATACCTCATTAAATCATACTCCCTTTAAAAGCACGAGTTCGGAAAATCTTTTTTAGACAAATATACCCCTTTATAGTTTGAACTACCTTATCTATAATCAAATTCTAATTTTCAATGGTCAATATTACCCTTCACTATTTTAAATATTTTATTTATATCTTAATCTATCCTAATCATAATCATATCTTATCCTAATCCTATGTGAACCATGTTTAGCTTAACAATTTAAAAAAACTAATATTAATAAAATATATAAAACATAAAAATGATATTAGTTTGTTAAGATAAGGTAATTACAAGTAGATAACATATTATAATACATGAATTATTGCAAAAAAACCATAAAAAGTTTTAAAATTGCAGAAAAGACCCTGAAAAGTTCAAAATTATAAAACTCATCCAAATG